CTCCTCCTGTATAAAAAAATTTAACCTATAAGTGTGAACACACATACACACACACACACACACACACACACACACACACACACACACAAACACACATACTGCCTGATACCTAGGAGGCACTTCCTTAAGGAAGCGTCAACACAACAGAATGTAGAGTCTGAAGATGAAGACTTGGTTTTTGAGTTTCCAAAGCCTTGGCCTAGCCTAAGACAAAAGATTCAGAAGTATCAAAGATAAAGGAAGGTTCTCCCTACTCCTGCACTAGAAAAGATTCTTCTGGTTGTGGGAAAGAAAATGAGGAAGCACTGCAGGGGCAGTACAAAAATTCACTATCGAAGTATATCTATGGAGGTAAGGTGTATGGAGGGAAGGGAAGACACCCAGGGAGAACCAAGAGAATCTGTTAGCAAAGGTGACCTGGGCCTCATGCCTGAGGAGAGCCTCTGAGGGGAACCCCATGGAGAACGGTTTCCCCTATTCCTCCTGTACCCCTCTTCCTGACCCCATGCACAGTCACTCTGAATCACTCTGTGTAAAGAAGAAAAAAAGAAAAGAGCATGGGCAGTGTTTAGGTAAAGGGGCCTCAAACAGCCTCTCAGAGTTCCCACCCACCCCACAATGGCACAAAGAATGGTTCAATAATTGCTGATAGCACACAACGAGGGCATCCGAGTAGCAGAGAGATGTCGAGATCTGGAAGTGCCACTGTAGACGAAAATAAAAGCTAGTCCAGGAAGCAACTGCCTGCTTGGACCAACAACCAAGGATATGAGGGAGAGGCTGGTATCTCCATGGACGCCAGCCCAGCTAAATGACAAGCGAGGAACAAACATTCTGTCACGACATACTTACCACGCCCACCACGCCATGCTTTGCAACTACACAAGTCTGCACTGATGAAAATTATACTTCCTCTAGTTTGTGGAATTAGATACAGTTATTGAAAGAAAACATTCTGGACTGAAAATCTTAGTATAATAGTTATAATTTACAACTATTTTGCACTATTTTTATAAATTCGAGGGAGGTATTTGAACCTAAGTCATTACGGCAACTTTCAATACATCTTTCCTTAAGTTTCACATGCCTCTTTAGAAGACTTACTTCGATCAGTAATGACTGTTCTAGCCTCTTGATTGCTGGTCTTGTTTTTCAAATTCTGGGCAGCAGTAATGAGTTCTTCCAACTGGGGGCGCCTCTGCTCCAAATCCTGCAGGGTGGCCTGAAGGGACAAAAATAACTCAATATTAAGGTTCTCCAGCATTGTGCATTCCTTTTATGTAATACAAAGTAAAGTGTGATTTTCAAGCTAACCAAAGCACTTGTAGAAATAAACAAAGATGTTACTGGCTATAAATCTCTAATGTGTAAGGCTTTATAGAGAGCAATTTAACAAGAGATGTGTTTCATTCTTAGATACCCCAAATATTTCAAATGAAAATCTTGATCATAGATTTGCTTCACTATTTAAGAGCTTAGACAGAGTCATTCCAGAGCACCTAGATTTACTCAACCCAATATATGAGTGCCATGAGTAAGAAATGTAATTTTGAATTATGGCAACATATTTAAGAGAAAGATAGTTATACTTGTAATCTCATTCTATGCGGTGTCAAAATTAAGGTGTATATTTCAGAAAGGGAAAAAAGCACAGAAGTGATTTAAGAGATATAACTTATTTAACTTCTTTGTACCTGAGATTCCTCACCTATAAAATGAGCAGGTGAGCTCAATTAGTCTTTCCCCCAAATCTCCTCTGCCTCACCCCAGAACAAATAAATTAGCAGGGAGGAGTGCTGGGAATTTACATTTGTAACAAGTTCTCTACTTAATTCTTATGATCAGGCAAATTTGGAAAACATCAGAATAGAAGTTAGTATTTATATTCTGCAGTACAACTGACTTTAATTTAACACTGCTTTAGATAAAAAGCACCAAATAGAATGAAGCAAAGAAATACGTTTCTTATCTATAGGTAGCTATGTTAATCATTAAGAAATTCCTCTCTCCCTCAAGGGTCTGTCTCTTGTCTCTGCCACCTTACTCTCTCTACATAAAGGGCCAAAATCCCAGTGATATATACAAAGAAATTTGGGGGAAAAAGGTATCTCTCTTGTTCTCATTCTAAAACTGAGTATATTTTGCTTCAATTTTGGAAGTATAATTAATATGTGTTAACTTATAACCACTATATGACAGATGTTTTGCATGCATTTTCTCATGTGTATTCTCCTAATAACCACGCTAATAGCCAAACTTTCGGATGCTTTTTAAAAATTTTTTTAGCTGAGCCATCCTGCCACCTGTTGGCAGCTCAGCTCTGGCCTGGACTCGAACCGCTGTTCCTCAGAGCTCGCACTCTTGAGTGAGCTCTTAACCAACTGAGCCACTCGGCTGGCCCGCTTTCAGATTCTTTATGGTTTTAAATCTGATGCTCTTTTTGCTACCACAGGAAGTTTATGAAAGTGAAGAAATGAAATGTGGTGGATAGTGATGTTTATGAAAATTGGTTATCTACTATGTCCTTTGACTGCTGCTGATTTTCTAAAGATTTTTGGTTTTGGAAAGGCCAGATTTGATTATTCTGTACTGTTTCTTTGGTGAAGACGTAGGACGACAGGCCTTGTGATTTAAGCTCAATTGCTTTTGGTAGTAGTAAAATAATAGGAAGAACTTATCCAAACATTACACATCTACTTCCAGCATTTTTCCTTCTCTGTATTGGAAATTTGGAGGGGCTAACTTTTAACAAATTTTCCACATTTGTAAGCTGTGATTGCTCAGAAGAAAAATCCAATTTTCAGGTTTCTAACTTTTATGGTTTCTTTACACAAAAGGGTGTTTGAAATATGGAACAAACTGCCAAAGACAGGTATTGAAGTAAGTGACATAAGTCAATTGGAGAGAACTGAACAACTTTTAAAGTGGGAACCACATAGTAGCAGATAGATTTTATGAAATAAGATGTTTTCCAGGGTTAGAATGTTAAACTCTGGTCATCTGTGACACAGCAAGCTGAAAAGGTACTTTGGAATTCCCAGCTCTTAAATGTTTAATATATTTGATAGATTTTTAAAAAACAGACCTACCCAGAAACCTCATATAAAGTCAAATCTTCCCCTCAAATTTAACAAAGAACTCTAAATACACATAGCTAAGCAAAGTATACAAATTCATTCATTTACTATTTTTTTTTCATTTTATAAATATCGAGTACTAGGCACTGTTCTAGCTGCTATATAGTAGTAAATTAAAGTATTAGATATGCTTTGTGTAATTTAAATGAAAATTTGTGTTTTTGGATACTTGGAAATTTTTAGATAACAAAATTTTCTTTGGTCTTTTTCTTTGATTTCATATGAATTCACCCTCAAATAACCAAGCTCTTTTTTGCTTCTCACTTCTGGATACATTACGCAATGTTGGCTATATATTTTTTTTGTTTTCTTCTTTTAGGATTACAAAGTTTGTTTAAGAAGTAAGTTGTAGAAGCAACTTGATCAACTTTAATCTGAACCTTACCAGGCTCTAAATTAAACCCGACCACAATGAACAGCTTTTACTGCTGAAATTAGCAAGCATGTCAGTTCAGACTTAAAACAAGCCATTTTCCTCTCTAATGAACAAAGTAGGTCTCGGGGTATTGTGAAACCTGTTCTCTAGTTGGGTGATTCTCTAATTCCGCTGACAGACACATGCTTTATAAGCACCTGAGAAGATTATTAATGACATCCTTTGAAGCAGCCTCCTTAAAAATCTAAGATTCACAACTGCAATAAAACTATGCATTTTTCATGTATTTCAAAACAAAATAGTAACTCTTTATCCTACTCTTTGGTCAACACATACTGTAATGTCCATTTCAAAAAGGAAATGGCACAATAATATATACATGGAATTTATCAGACACTAATATACTCATTAAATAGTGGTTCTTCAGAACAGAATGGGAATTTTCTCCTTCAATTTTCTTTCCAGAAATTAAGGGAAGAATTTGAATATGGCATATATTTAAGTATTTTTAATTAAGATACTATAGAAACAGTGACTGAAAGACCTTTTTGCTAATGAACAGAACGCATGCGGACAGTGAGAGGAACAACTAGGATTATTTTTTTCTTTTCACTGCGTTCTCTTCTGAGCATATTCTATTTATTTGCTATGACAATTTCTTTGACCTGGCAACTTAGTTTTATAATCCCGTAACCTTCACCTCTATTCCACTGAACCACCTACAGACGGGAGAACACCTTAGATCCTGCCATTACTCAAACTGCCCACCTCCCAAATATCCATCTGTGAAATTCTGTTCTCTGCCCCCAATCTGGTGCCCTTACCAAATGCTGCTCTCAAAAACAGTGTTTCGTCTCTAATCTTCATCCTCATATGACCTCCAGTTCCCTTCTATTGTTGAGCTTCCTCATTCTAGCTCGAGTTGTCTCTATTTATCATGCTAAACAAGTAGAATGCTAATTATGCTTATTTATTTTTCTGATATGAGCCCAGATAGTCCTTAAACATATAACTTAACAAAACGAAAACAATTACATGCTTAACCACACGTAAGCATGATGATGGAATATGTATGTCTACATGGAATCTATCATTCTGGAAGAAACAAACACAAAAGAAAGGAATCGATGCTATGTCTAAGGAATCATAAACCAGCTACTGGGCTTTACGGAAAACAGCTTACCCCTTGGAGATGAGAATTCATCATGGATTCCACTAGCTGAGCAAGGATGGAGGGAAAAAAATCTTAAAATACAAACTGAATCAGAAGTCACTAATCCTACTAAGTCCCCAGGGGGTTGAGGTAAGTGATTATAAATAGCAATCTTATGAATAAGGGTGTTAAACAATGAAGCCACACATACTATAAGTAGGTCATTTTAGGCTGTTAAGAAGAATTATACTTTGTTATTGTATTTGTTAAAATGGAATTCTACCTAAATAATACTCAAATAGAAAACTTTATGTGTTTAGTTGAATATTTAGTATTTATATGTCTAAGAAAAGACCTTAATAACAAACTCTTTATATTTTCAATATTTTTCTACAAAAAATTAACAATCTTCACATAGTTACATTTAGAACAAAGGCCCATGGTGATTTTAATTTGTTGCCATTTTCAGGAAATAAACATGAATTAAGCTGCCATGTAAAAGTGTAGACCTTATACTCTTATCTACTACTTTCAAAATTAACATTAAGTATTGACAAGGTGAAATAGTTTACAAAACCACTTCATGTATAGAAGAAAATAAGCATTTAAGTCAGGTAGGTCCTAAACCCTAGCCTTTCTTGTAACTGAAAGAGTTTTACCTCTGAGGATGCTATCATCTCTCTAGCCTTCAAACGCCTCACTGAGCACCTTAATTCTGGCTTCTATTCTTGCATTCGACTGCTTCTCCAAATAGATTGGCCAAATCCAAAGTCATCTTTATTGTCCTCCACTTCCTCATTTCTCACTTACATGTTAAACTGGCTTGGATATTTTCGTCCTTGGCATAAGTTCCCCACTTCTCTGAATGTTCCACCAGCATCTCTATTGGTAACTTCATCATAAAAACCTTCAAACTATAGTTATCCTTTTGTCTTTCATTCATTCAAGAAATACTTTTTTTGAAAAAAGCATTTTATTCTTATATAATTTAAAACTTACAGAAAATTCACAAATGGTAAAGGAATCCTCTGGACCCTTGACCCAGATTCATCAATTGTTAATGTTTTGCTACATTTATCATTCTCTGTGTGTGTGTGTATAATATCTGTATTGTTATATTATAGATATTATTTTCTGAACTATTTGAGAATAATCTGCAGATATCATGTCCCTTACCGTTAGATACTTCAGTGTTTATTTCTTAAGAACAAAGGCATTCTTTTACATAACCTCAGCTCAATTTCAAAGTCAGGAAATTTAACATGGTTTTTGTAATAGAATCTAATCCACACTCTTCATTCACCGTATGACAATTATTCCATTAATAGCCTTTCATTTACTGGTCCATGCTCATGCATTGCATTTAGTTGTCATATCTCTTTAGTCTCATTAATCTGAAATAGTTCTTTGCCTTTCTTTGAACTTCATATCAACAAATGTTTTGAAGCATACAGGCCAGGTATTTGGTAGAATGTACCCCAATGTGAGTTTCAGCAAATATTTTTTAGTACTTTTTTCAGTCATTGAGCTAAGTAAGCCCAGGGGATTCAGCAGTG